TATTTTTTATTATTTATTTTAAAAAATTGAGCCATTAATCATAATGGCTCAATTTTTTAAAATAAATAATAAAAAATAGTTTTATATTTTAATTTCAAACAGGGTATTCCTATTTAAAGAAAGCATACAACATAGATTTTTTCTTGATAAAGTTAAATTTAAAGAATTATAGGAGCTTATGCTATTGATCGCAAACTTTTTTTGATGTGTGTATTTAAGAATTTTGTATATAAAATTGTACAACGCTTCTGGTAGTCACAATTAATTAGAATTTTTGTGTTGTGACTGAATAATATTGTCTTTATTATGATCAATGGTCAGCGAATTTTTATAACCAATAATAATAACGCACACACTCAGTCCCGCACTAGGGAAACCCTGATCGCGGGTGCCATGGACAAACAATAGGCAACAACAAATTGCATCCTATACATAAACTCACGAGAGAAATAAACTTTTGCCATACAAGTATTTCTCCCGGCCCGAAAAACGAACCCGGGACCTCTGCGTGGCAGTCCAGCCACGAATGCAGTCATATTTATATTTAACTTTTTATATATATTAATTTATATATTTAACTGCCTCCGTGACTGAACGGTTACCATGCCGGACTGCCACGCAGAGGTCCCAGGTTCGATTCCCGGGCCGGGAGAAATAGTTGTATGGCCTACAATTATTTCTCTCGTGAGTTTGGGTGTAATTTGTGGTCGTCTATGTATGTGTCCATGGCACCCGCGACACAGGGTTTCCCTAGTGCGGGGCTGTGTTGAGTGTGTGCGTTATTTATTATTATTTATTATATAATGAACTTTACGTTGATTGCGTAACGTATAAATTAGATACAATTACAATTTCGTACGAAAAATTCGCTTTCACTTTGTCCCGCGGGAATGTAAAGAGAGCCAGTGTCCGTATCGCGCCGTTGGTCGTACCTGGTGGTGCGGCTGGTGCTGCGCGAGCGGCGGGTGCGCGGCGTGGAAGGAGTCGAGCTGCGCGTCGGCCGCGGCGCCCGGCCCGGCCGCCACGCCCGCGCTCGCCGCCAGCTGCGGGGCGGACAGGCTAACATGAGTCGATGAACTATCGCAGTAAGAGAAGTATGGTAACTCCGTACAAAATAACAGCACGGCTTGTATGAGTGCGCGACTGTCGCGCGCCGGTTACGGATGCACATATTCGCACAAAAATGAAAGGCGCGTTAGAACGAATAGTGTTACGTAACGCGAGTGCATCGCGAAATTATGCGCACGCCGCTACTTTTGTATGGAGTTACAATACTTGTTACATAAAAAAATTACATTTTTTCTTAATCACCATACTTGTCTTATTTTATTATACTACGTTAATATCGCCCTTAAGCGGAACTTTACCTTCTTTAAACTCCCGAATAGTTCTCGAAAGTCTAAGGAATTAGGAACACAATCAGCTACTTGAAAAATCACATATCACATTTGAATTCCAAATTTACGGCGTTCCGATTGGTCAATTTAAATTTCAACATCGTTGACTTTAGAATTTAAAGCATTTTGATTGGTCATTTCGTGTTTTCGTTTCAGAAAAAACGTGCAATTTGTTTCAAACAATTTGTGAAGAATGCGATACCTCGTTTAACTTGAGGTAGTGGTGCGCTGGCGGCGCGTCAGCGGTGGGCGGCGCCTTGTGCTGCGGGTTGTGGTACGTGTATGTGGGGATATGCTCGCCCGGCCCGTTCGACGACCCCGCCTCCCAATCCTCGGCGCCCTGTCACACACACTCTCGTTACTCCCGAATACAGACAAGGTTGAGCTTCAGCGAGGCTGCTTGCAAGGAACTTGCGCAAGTTTGCTCTCGGGGAAGCAACAAAAGTTTGTTGATTGTGATATTAGTAATATATATATTTTTTTATAATATCAAGTGACGGGACGAACAAGTCGCGCGCCTGATGGTAATCTACACGCCTGTCCATAACAGTTGCAGTGCCACTCACGAGCTTTCAATCGCAAAGATCTGAGGGGCACTGCCACTGCGCCCGTTACCCTGAGACGTAAGTTAACAAGTCCCATGTGCCTGTAATTTCACCAGAACCCTTACCCTTCAAAACCGGAACACAGTAATGCTGACATTACTGCTTGGCGGCATATTATATCTATAAGTACACGGAACTATGGGTTTAGTTATAAGTTAAATGTTTTTCTTTTCGTAATTGTAAAATACTGTTCCGCTCGTTTGACAGAACAAGAAGTATCGTGATATATAGATATCACGTTGTCCTGGCAAACGGGCGGTTTGTTCCTCAATAAAAAGAAAAAATATAAGTCTTGCGAGGATGTTCATATTTTACAAATAACCCCGTATAATACACAATTAACACAATGTTTGTGCACAAACAAAGATCCCTAAAATACAGGTACTTATTTACTTAGTTCAGGCATCGCAACTAAACTATAAGATCCTAAGCTTTAATTGTGTAGCTTAATGAAGATTGTATACAAATTATTAAGGTTCCTTTTTCATTGCTTTGCATTATCATAACTTTCTTTACACACGACCTTCCGTTACCTTAGGATTTTAGAATCTTCCGTTACACCTAGGAAATTAACTATTTTTCTGGATTTAAATCGCGTATATTTGATTTTTCAAACAAACCAACGTTTCGACGTTTTCGTTGACATCAACCAGTTATGTTTAATATAAATGCAAGCCACCCTATTTTTCCACTATATTTACAAAAATTATTAATTAAATACCTTATTTTTAATTTTACAAAGAACGTTCCAATTTTCGGTACATTGTGTTTTACAAATGATTTTATTTCAATAATATGAATTTTTATTAAGTTAAATTTATTATTAATTAATAATGGAAATTAGAATAAATTAACACATATTAATTAATATTGAAATCTCGTCTGTTTGGGAATTTTCATGAGCGGAAATACTGGATCCCAAACTGATGGTACAGAGAAACCATCTTCCCTGTTGAAATTAGGATGTTTTTTTAATTTCAATGGCCTTTCGCAGCATCCTGGGTAGATAACGGACTTCTTTTGCAAGGACCTGGGGTTTGTCAAACTTCATTGTCGAAACGTCGGTTTGTTTGACAAAAAAAAAGCGATTTAAATCCGGAAAATTAGTTTCATTTCCTTTACATATGTTTTACTTGTATTAGATTAAGTTATAATGAAATGAATTTATCCATGACGGTACCTTGAAACTTAATTAGCGACAGACTACGAAGAAAATACATAGTTAAGTTAACATTCTAATTTACAAGCGTAACTACGCTGATCCGTCACAGATTTTCGGCATGACGTGTTGTTACACCTGTCCGAATTACGCGCTTAGTCAAAATAAAAAAAAATGACCGTAGTAAGTAAATTGGTATAAAATCACATTACACAAAAAGATAAAAAACTTGTAGCTCAGGAAAATGGCGGAATGTTTAACAGTACCGCAGCTATTATGCTACAGCCGCATTATATTTAAAAAAAAAAACCTAACACAGACATCATTCCAGGGCCCAGGTCTGCTAATTTTAAATCACCTCAGTTGTGTGTCAATGGCAGGATTTTGTACGTTTGGTATTCTGCTAAAAGTTAATGGTGGCTTATCAGTGGTTAGCCACCGATCTACCATTCAACTACCATTGTAATTTTTTGGTATTCTGCTCTTCAATGGCGATGGCGTAGTGTATTAATGTTACATGTCGACTGTGAACTGGCAACCGGTACTATCTCAATTTTGTAAAGATTTAACGTTTTAATACCATTTTATACTATTTCATACTCCGCAGCGTTGCAAGAAATTCGACCTCATATACATTTAATTTTGGCACCAGAATCGACTTCATTCATCTTGTACTAACTTCTAACTAGATGCTATATAAATGACGCAAATAATTATTTTCTTCATTCTGTAAAGTTGTCAAAATTGAGATAGTACCGGTTGCTAGTTCAAAGTCAATGTATTTAATTTCAAGACTAAATAGGTGTTTTTAAACGAGATAAAAATGAAGATATGCATGGTAATTTCCATGGTAGTTTTACTAAGGCAACATGGATCGTTAGTAATTGAATGTATGAATAATCCTTCACTGACATTCCCGAGACTCAACTGCCATTGCAAGTAGATTTTAACAGAATAGCAAATATTATCATAATTGCAATCTAATTTCAATGGAATTGGGCCTCACAATAAAAATTGCCATGGACATTTGTTATGGACAAGACAATTGTTATGGACAGGCGTGTAGCTTACCATGACACATGACTTGTTCGTCCCGTTACATGATATTATAAAAAAAAGTATACAAATAAGAAGAGCGCATGTAAGTGTGGTGTCTCTCCCCTGACAATGGCATACCTTTTGACGTGCCCAGCGTGTCCCTACACCTGCAGACGCGAGGTCTTGTACAACGCCACTGATAATGCTATGCCAATGGCTAAGTAATGGTCCTCATAAATGTAAACGTCGGAGTCGACACGCTAGGAAGAAGAACCAAGTATAAAATCATAAATTGCTATATAGATATCAAATTGTACCCAGAGCAATAACCACATCTAACTATAAAACATTTCTTCCGTAGCAGCAGAGCTCCTTACCTTACCTATTTCTGCCGCCAAGCGGTAATGTGACCATGACTGCGTTCTAGTTTCGAAAGGTAAGGATGTGAAATTACTGATATATATATAAATCCATAAGTTCCATTTCACTTTACAACTATATTCTGCACAGAACCTTACCATGAACTCTTATTGCAGTTCTGAATAAGGTTCGTAACGACAACAAAAGCGGAATCGTGATATACACTTCATGTAGCGCTGTCTCACGACGATTAATTTTAGGTCCTAATCTGAATCGCAATAAGACTTCATGGTAAGGCCCAGGGGCCCTTCATTCTAAATTAACTATTTTATTTATTTAATGATTCGAGTAAACGATAATAATCGGATAGAATCGGTTGGCATAAAAATGGCAACACTGAAGAATAAAAGGAAAATAAAACGGACACTTGCGTGTGAGGAGCACTAGTTTAGTAATTTTTTTTTGTTCTGGAAGAATATAGTCTAGGGTAGGGTATAGTATAGGGTCATTTCCCTGGAATTATTATTCTACGGCATCCTTACAAAGTATTGCTTTTGACGAGAACCTGTTAAAACATTTCTTATGGAGACTGCGTAGTAAGATATCATGACTAGTTGCACAAGCAAGAACTCTATAATCAACTGTACTATAAAATAGTTACCTGTGCGTTGAGTGATGTGCCTGCATCTGCATCGCTGGGGATGTTTTGAGCGTTGACACTCGGAGTGAACACCTGACAACAATTATATAGTATTAACAGGTAAATCAATTTATGAACCCACAAATAGTAACAATAAATATTATTAGTTTAATAAGCAGTGATCGGAACTGGGGAGTAAATTTAGCTAAACTAAATAATAACGTGGACATTCTCTTCTACAAATCCCGGGACTTCACGGCACTGGTTATATTTCAATATGCGTATTATTTAGTGAAATTTGAGTTATTGGCGACGAATAATTATTTTCTATAAAGTATTTACTACATATTATTGTCTCAAATATAATATTGTAGTTGTGCTTCTATAGGCACTTCTGTATTTAAATAGTTAAGTCATTTAAAAAATAAACATGAGACAACTTATGTGAATGTGATATGTATGGCGGATGGATGGAAGAAAATCTTAAATTATTGTATGTTTTGCGAGAAGAATGAGTGCGAGTCGACCTGTTCGCAAATACCGCCTTCCATTTGATGTTTTTTTGTTTTTTTATTATTATTTTTATTTATTTATTCATTTGGAACACCTACAGATTACACAGAAAAAATAAGATTAATTTGTTTTTATTATTTTTTATTATCTATTTTAGACTCTCGTCTCTCCCATGGCGGAAAAGATAAATTATTATTATTATTATTATTATTATTATTGATTATTGTTCTTGCTAATTACTGTAATTGGATATGTCCGTTGTAATTAGAATAAATAAATAAATAAACTTATATTTGGGAATGTTTACAAAATAAACAGTAAAAAAATAAATAAATTTTATATTGATGACGAAATGAGTATGTCCATACTAAGAATACGTTCATACTTCAGGTAAATTATGTCCCTTGACTCCGATCACTAATAATAAAAGTGAAACTCCGTACAAACGAAGCAGCGCGACTTATATGCGTGCACGCCCGCCGCGCGCCGTATACGGACGCACATGGTCATCATCAACCCATTTATACGTTCCACTGCTGAGCACGGGTCTCCTCTCAGGTGAGGGTTTCGGTCATCCGTTTTCCGAGGATTGTGAACCTTCTTCAACGTGCAGGTTTCATCACGATGTTTTGCTTCACCTTTTTTATGTTCAAATTAAATTTCGCACATAAATTCCGAGAAACTCAAGGATTCGAACCCACGGCCTCTGCTAGAGAGGCATAAAGTCAAACCATTAGGCTCCCGCTATGACGCATGCGCCTATCATTATAGAATTGAAGCGTTCGCTCAGTGTTTAAAATATAGTTCTGTCAGATTTATAATTTTTTTGTTTTATATCACATCATACAATGTACCACAAGTTTACTTCAACGCACGTGTTAAAAAGTCGGGTTTTATTCAGTTGCCCTTTGCCTTTGGAACAGACCGGATGCTTTCAGTCGACTTGGAAGTATATAGAGTAGCTATTTTATTATACGCCATCTTGAATTTAGAAATAAGTACCATATTCGTAATGAACACCCCCCAAATACCTCGAAAACTATGTCCAACTTGCCTATACTTGAAAAGTCGTGCCCGCCATCTTGGATTAAAAATAAGTGTCATATTCGTAATGAGCACCCCCAAGTACCTCGAAAATGATACCCATATTACATTTAATTGAAAAAAAAAACCTGACTTCTAACATAAATAAAAGCAAAATATAAAACATTAGATGACCTAGGCTCGAACTCCAGACATTCAGTATTCATGCTTTGGACAAAGAGGACACTAGAATACCTATGTTTAGGTTTCACACCATACAGCCAAAACTTGGCTGTATGGTGTGAAACCTTTGCATGTGTGTGTAACTAAGTTTCGAGCGGATAATAGATATTTTTATCTAATTGAAAGATTGTATGTGAAATATAAAGTATAACTTTTGGCTGCCAATTTTGCGAATATCGTAATAAACTATTATTTCGCCTTACCAACGCCATGTATTGGGTATTAGATTACATAAAACCGTGACGTTCCCCCTTAATTATTAAACGATAATATACTTGAATATTTAAATAATTAAAATTGCCACGGAAATTAGGTAGTGAACACTAGTACGAGAAAGACCGAAATATTATGTACAAATAAAAATAATCACGTTACTTCCATTAACATCCATTCAGTATTTTTTTTTTCAAATCGTCTCTCTCAATTCCGATTGTGACTTACGACTACGGTTTCATGTGCGATATTATTAACCCTTAATTAAACGTCGCATGAGGTGTGCAACACCCAAATTAGACTCGTGAAATAAAATACACGCAAAATCAGACTTTTATCAAAAACAATATTTGTACATACTAATTTCCTAGCTTATAAATGTCTTTCTGACTGATAAAACATATTATTAATAAAAAAACAACAACATTAGTAAAAGCTTATTTTCTTCATCACAATTTTGGCAGACTAGAATTATGTGATCATTACACATATGTTTTAAACCTTTCGAACATTCCCCCTTGGTTTTTCGGTCCTTGATTCTAGGACATATATGGCACTGTTTATATGAAGGCGACCGGTCACTTTTAAAGTCTATTGTGTTGTTTTTTGTAGCGGTCGAGGTGGTGTGCGAGTACCTTCGTTTCCGGTTTCGCTTTGTTCTTCTTACGCACAGTTATGGTCACTTCACAATGACATCATGATGTTGTTCACCTTCAGAATTCCCATCAATAGATCATCATCTGCTTTCAATTGGTGCACAATCTCTTAAAGAGTCAAATCACGTGGCATTTTACTGCTACCTCAAAACGAAAAACAAAATCCCACCTTACAATAATCTTTAAAATATATTCGTTTAATAAATTCTATAAATGTCACTACATATTTTTGTCCACCTCCATTATTTAAATACATAATAATAAAAACATATATTTACTTACCTTACGGAATTTTGTCTACACACATGGTCGCGTGGGGTGTCACGCACCCCAAACACGCTCCCCAAGCACAACTATACGCAAACAAGCGCAGATTACGAATGGATTGTGAAGTTAGTAAGCTAATCTGAATACAAGCGCCGTAAGTTATTTATAGTGCCGTATAGTTATAGTTAGTAATTTTAAAAACTTAAGAGTCGAGAAACCTGCAATGGGGTGTGAAACACCCCACGCGACCAATTAATGGTTAACTTATTGTAAGACTTGTCTAGCGCCACTTCGGTAAGTGAAAGAAGTAGAACAGAAAACATAGACTATTCTAATTTAGCACGGACTTATACACGTCACACAATATACAAATGTGACGCTCTAGCGTCGTGCACTAATATTATACATTAGATATTGTAAATATTTTATATTGCAAAAAGGGCTACCCCTAATTGCTCTTAGGGAAATCTGCCTTACATTCTACACAAGTACACCCTCCACTAATATATAAATACGAGCCCTATAACCCACCTACGGTGGGATCGGGCTCGGCCTGCGGCGCGTGGTCGGTTTAGAATACGGGGTGTGCTTATGCTCTTCAGTGGCACAGTGATTAGTACTATGGGCGCTTGATGACGAGGTTCCAGATTCGATCCCTGATTTGAGCCAATTTATGAAAAAAAAAAATTAAGTTGGTTGTGGCTAGGGTATTCTGGGCATTGCCCACATAATTTATCGTTACTCTGGTACTCATAGTACAGGAAATTTCCTAGTTTAAGACCAGAAATTTGGAGTGATTGTCTGGCATTTTTCCCTAAATATTTCTCTTTTTGGCATAGCTTCCAAGAAAAAAGAATCTAACAGAGAGACGGTCGAGATACAACAACGCCATAAGTATGTTATTTCCACTACATCGGGAGATAATGCCTTAGATTTTGAACAATTGTGAAATCTTGTACTCGAAATTTAGTCTCTGTATACTACCTACGTACGGTAGCGTGCGGACGCTTTGGGCTTCGCCCTCCGTTAGACTTCGGCTTACGGCCTCGGCACTTAAGACTTTAAAAGAATTAACAAATGGCGGCCATATTGACAAATGGCAAAAAGTAAATTTTAACTGCAAATTAATGTTAAACACCCATAAAGAACCCGACATGTCGATTTTCAGTACAATTAGAGCAAATTTTTATCATTCGCTAAAAAGGTTTGTAAGTCAGCCATATTGAAAAATGACTAAAAGTAAATTTTAACAGCAAATTATTATTAAACAGCCATACTCTTTGTATGGGGAGATCCCCATACATGCCGATTTTCAGCTGAATTAGAGTAAATTTCTATCTGCTGCCAAAAAGTTTATGTGTTTATGTATTAAGGGTATGGCAGGCATATTGAAAAATGGCGAAAAAAAAATTTTGACCGCAAATTATTGTTAAAAACCCATAGAGCCGATTTTCAATCGAATTAGAAAAACACTTCTATGGCTGCCATATTGAAAAATGGCGATAAACTAATGTTGATCATTAATTATTATCAAGCACTCCTAGAGACACACGTGTGACGCACACATTTGTGTGTCACACATCAACTTTCAAAGGGATCAGAACCATTTTTTTTTCTACTGCCAACAAACGTTTGTATGACGGCCATATTTGAAAATGGCGGAAATCCAATTTCGAGCACAAATTATTATCTGGCAGTTCTAGAGGCCTCCACATGCCAATTTTTAGCTGAACAGAGTGAGTCTCTTTCAACAGCTATTTTTACCGAAAAAAACACTTATATAAAAAATGTGTTTTTAATTAATATTTGTGGTGGAGGCCGTTGAAATTATTTATCTTGCCTAAGAGGGTGAGCGAAGAAATTTTCGAACCTATGTACTAGACCCACAAAAGACTATTCTCTTTTTAAAGGGTGTTACAATGTACCTTGTTTTATACTGCTATGTAAAAACTGACATAATTTTGAAGTTGCAAAAACGAAATGTTACATTATAATGTTACGATATTTAGGATTTTATAATAAACTATGTGAGCAACGAGCTTTGCCGAATAAAACTGAGAAATGCTAAAATCATGTGTTATGATAATTTCAGTGAATTCAAAGCTTTAAAACGCTCCCCTGTAAACTTGGCAATTTCGACATACAATACTTTACGTAGGAGGGGTCGATTGAAATTGAGAAAAAGTATCAAGTTCGTTTGAAGTCCCATCCACTGACCACTCAACGCCCACCGCCGTGTTTGAAAAAACATTTTGATGAAACCTGCATGTCAAAGACGGTTTACAGCTCTTGGAAAACGTATTAAGTCTGAACATCAGAAGTATGGCCTATATCACGGAAGAAAAAAAACAATGTAAGTGTCTTAAGCCTCGATTACTATCAGAACAAATACAATAACAAATGACAAACACTATGAAATCTTGATAATGATTGGTCATAGTTTCTTTTTTTTAAAGTTGTAACAAATTCTGGACACAGAAAAAATTCCTTCGAACCGGCCGAATTCAGTAATTTTACATAAAAATAATTGAATAACAATTCAATAAAAATTTAAATACAATGAATAGCGACATCTCTAGCCGGGGCCGGTAGCTGTAAAGGTATCTAACTGGGTGACGCAATATAATAGATTTCTCATAGATGGCGCTATGGCTAAAAAGTCGTTGAAAAACCAAATACAAAGATACGACGCAAGCACATAGAAAAATTCGTGAGGTCCGTTGGTTCGTGGCTTAGTTGGTATAGCGTCTGCCACGGTATCCTAGAAGACGTCGTGTCGGTTCGAATCCGGCCGGATCGAAGGAATTTTTTCAGAGTTTTCTGAGAATCTTTGTATTAATAATTATAACAAACTAGTGGAGTAATTTCACATAAAAATAATTGAATACCAATGCAATAAAAAATTTAATTCTGGACTGTTAATATAAATTAAACTTTACTCAGTCGTTATATCGTTATACCTTTACTGCAAATAGCGACGTTTTGATTTTATTTAGAATTTTTTTTTCAATGTGCTGGCATCTTGCGATCAGTAACTGAACTACGACGAACATCTGAACGAATAGAAAGTAAAATCCTCACGACAACTGGTGTCTTTTTTATCGCACACTATGCATAAAGAACATTATTTCGATCAATTAAGTTTAAAATATTAGCAAAACACTCATGAAGCATTTTTTTCGCTACTAGTTTGGAAAATTCGAGACGTTAATTATTATTATTATTTAGTTAATACACTAGCAGCACTACGAGCTGATGCGTATACATCACTGCACTTGTATAATATAGTTAGTTTTCAAAATGTTTATCAAGTCTAGCTTTGAAACTATTCACTGTCAGATAGCGATGAAAGAGACTCAGGGACTTGAGTATGATTTCAAGCACTGGAAATACGACCCTAATGGCAAGGACTTGAGTATGATTTCCAACGCTTGAAATCATGCTCAAGTCAGGACTTGAGTATTGCAGTGAGCACTGAAAATCATACTCAAGGCCTTGCCATTAGGGTCGTATTTCCAGTGCTTGAAATCATACTCAAGTCTGCTCAAATCCTGACTTGAGCATTGAGTAGAGTTCTGGAATACGAACATAAGTCTTTTAAGGCGTTTTATAACGACTCGACTCCATTTTACATGACACGACTCTAAAATTAAGACTGGGGGTTCGAGTTTTTATTAATAAGGCTCAGTCGTTATACTAAAAGATTCAAAAGACTATACGACTCGAGTTGTTTGCAAAGGACCTATTTTATGTTTTATTAAACCCGAAGTTTATAAATAAAAATGTCGTAAGAAGTATGTAGTAAATAATCACATTTATTTACTAATAATAAAAATCGTAAAATAAATACCTTGTGGGTAGAAATAAAATCACGCCGTACGGCTCATGACTCGCGACTCCCGAGGCTATGAGGCGCCAGTCGTTTTAGTCTGTTTAGTCCTATAAGTCTTTTAAGCTTCCTACGGTTAAAAGACTTCGA